CGTTCGCTGCGCTCACTTGCCTTCAGGTTAGCTCGCTCGCTACGCTCACTCACCTTTAGGTTGGAGCTCGTTCAGGTTAGCTCGTTCACTGTGCTCACTTGCCTTCAGGTTAGTTCGTTCGCTACGCTCACTCACCTTTAGGTTGGAGCTCGTTCGCTGCGCTCACTTGCCTTCAGGTTAGCTCGTTCGCTACGCTCACTCACCTTTAGGTTGGAGCTCGTTTGCAACGCTCACTCACTTTTAGGTTGGAGCTCGTTCGCTGCGCTCACTTGCCGTCAGTTTAGCTCGTTCGCTACGCTCACTCACCTCTAGGTTGGAGCTCGTTCGCTGCGCTCACTCACCTTTAGTTTGGAGCTCGTTCGCTGCGCTCACTTGCCTTCAGGTGAGCTCGTTCGCTACGCTCACTCACCTTTTTGTATCAAATTAGCTATTGTCATAAATTTAAAAATTTTATTGGGGATGAAAGAGAGGGGGTTGGATAGGGATTGGAATACGTTAAAAAAAACGTTAAAAACTACCTTTTTGAATGAAAACCCGCCATTTTTAATTTTTTAGTACGTTGAAATTATAGAAGGTCACTCAAGGAACTTTCTTTTTAACGTTAAGACCATAAAAAGTACAAATATATGTACAAAAAGTCGTTTTATAAATTAAAAACACCAAAAAAATCAAGGATTTTCAAAATTTTTGGAAGTAGAGCGTTTTTTGAAGGTGTAGGAGTAAGATTTTCGATATGACTCCTTCTTGGAGAAAACTGTCTTGTAGAAAATTTAATTCTGAACCTACGATTTTCCCTCAAATCGTTTCTAGCTCTTACCGTATTCGAGCTACAGCAGTTTAAAAAAAACATGTTTTTCCCGAAAAAAACTAGGGTTTTACGGAATTACTTTTGGCGGGTTTCAGTTGGAAAAACCAAATTTTGGGACCTTCTGGGTGTCTTGGTACCCAGACAAACCTTTACACAAAATCTCAGCTCCGTAGCTACTCTAGAAGTGACAAAAATGCTTTTTCTGTCGCCAAACGCCCATATTTCACCTACTGACGTTTACTTCTAGTTTGCTTGTCGTTACATGTTAATTTTCCATAAGAAATACGTTAAAAACGAACTTATAAATCGAAAATCCGCCATTTTGAATTTTTTTTAGTAGGTTTAAGTTATAGAAGGTCACTCTAGGGACTTTCCTTTCAACGTTGAGAGCTTAAAAAGTACAAATATACGTGCGAAAAGTCGTTTTAAAAATTAAAAACACTAAAAAAAAATCGAGAATTTTCACCATTTTTGGAAGTAGAGCGTTTTTTTAAGGTGAAGGAGTGCGAATTTCGATATGACGCCTTCTCTGACAAAACTTTCTTGTAGAAAATTTAATTCCAAACTCACGATTTTTCCTCAAATCGATTCTAGCTCTTACCGTTTTCGAGCTACATCCGTTTTAAAAAAACATGTTTTTCCCAAAAAAGGGCGTTTTTAATGGAATTTTTTTGGGGGGGTTGCATTTTGAAAATGTAACTTTTTGGGATTTTCCTGGTGGTCTGGGACCCATACGGACCTCCACCGAAAATTTCAGCTCCCTAGCTACTCTAGAAGTGCCCAATCTTTAGTATACCTGATCAGTGAGTCAGTCAGTTACACATGCGGTTGTATATTAATATGGATTTAATTGGGATGTCCACTTATCCAAAGGTAAATGCTAGTTTTGAAAGCCTGAAGCAAAGTCCTAGGGGGTTTTATAATCGGGAAAAGAGCGATGATTTTGCAAGGATTGCAAAGATTTGCTTGAAATATTCTTCAGTTCACAGCGATCGTTGGACGGCTTGGTAGTAATGGATTAGGTACGCATAAAAGACAAACGTAGGCCTACATTCATTGAATTTTTCATATATACACATTAAACCTACTTTCAGATATGTTGATCTCCGATTCAAGTAGTGTGTGCGTTTTGTTATGTATTATCTTATCGTTTTACTAACATTTAACTTATTTCACTCTACTACAACTATTTAAACCATTCAATACTTGTGTAAAATATAACTGGCCGCTCATATTTCAACCTCAACCAAAGAGCAAAAGCGCAAGCTGTAAAATTAATGCTCAAGGATTATAAGAAAGAAAAGATTGGTTTTACTTGTGTACCTACTATATTTTTATGATTGTGTTAACCTGTTTAAGGTTTAAATTAGTGATGTGTCAAAACCAAATCTCAAATCTCAAAACCATCAAAACTTGGGAAAAGTTTCGGTTTCGAGATTCGATCACCGAGTTTCGAGATTCAAAAGTTTCGAAATTGAAGAATTTTGCAGTGTTTTTTGAAACTGCTGAAATTATTTTTTGTCTTTATTATTGTTTTTAACACTGTTCCTCACAAGCTCGTAGCAATAGACAAACATCACCATCAACAGTAATGAAACAAGTAAATTTTAGGCTAATCTGAACTTCAAAAGGCATCTTAAATACTATAACTGGAAGGATGTGCGATTAAGTTTCATTTCATATAAATATTTATTAAACCCAACAAAATATTGACCACTATATGATCTAATTAATCTAATATTCATATTTATGTTGGTGTTAGGAGTTTTATATATTTTCATGTTGGTTGTTTATAAAAAAAAATATGTTTTATTGGGTTTTATTTAAGATCATCAGTCACATATTTATGATATGTCAGGGTCGATCTCTTTTAGTTTTTATTGCATACTTAACATTTTATTATTACCTGTATTTTTTGTAACCTTGACCTTTGTAACCAGCTAAGTAAAAAAAGTTTCGCGTTTAGGTTTTGAGATTCGAGATTCGGGATTCGATTTTTAAGTTTCGGTTTCGGTTTTGAGATTCGAAATTTCTGGTTTTGACCATCACTAGTTTAAATACAGAATTATTTACGCCACAAACTATTTTCTAAGCCATCTATTAAATATATATCTAAAATCAATCCGCCAAAGCCGCTTAACGGCTTATCTCAGTCGCTTTCAGGTTCGTTCCACTCAGCTGTGGCGATACTAATGGAGATTACGCGTATTAATTAAACATATCGATATTTATGGAGTAAAATCGTACAGCTGGTGTTTAATTACAGATATTACACTGTTTGGTCGTCTCATAAAGTAAATAAGTCGCCTAATGACAGCTGATCTTATCGCGCCTCACTTCCTGATGTTGACGGTTTGTTGGTTTTCAGCAAACACCTGTTCAGTGATTGAGCTCGGGTTTCGATATTAATATCCAGTTTTGCTTTCGCTGTTGAAAATTACTTTGCGAAACTGCGGGTGCGTGGTGAATGAAAGCAGGTAGAAAATTTCGAGAACTAAAAGAGTACTGTGTTTCGACATTTATCAGAGTAGTATAATGAACAGGTAATGATCGTACGTGAAAATTCAGTGTCGATGTAACAATGTTGTCTTTAAATACTGTGTAGTGTGTACACTTGCAATACTCATAAAATTGTAAAATATAGGTTAGGAAATGTCCTCGAGTGAGCTGTGAACGACTGCATTGTTTTCTTGCAGGGCTACCTGTGTATTTCATTGTAACAATTGATTAAAATAATACAGAGAGCAGAAAATATAACATGTAGACAAAAATGTTACCGCTAAACGTTTCATGAAGTGGTCATATGTTTGATCCAGTAAGAAGTGGTGGTTTTTAAGCGTAGCTTTAAAAATCTGTTTTAAGCTACTCCTTTTGAATCAAATACAATTTTAGTAGTATATTTTATTTTTGACATCACTACTTAATACATGGTTAGTTTTCAGTAATACTATTTGGTAGTTTTTTACTCGTGTTACATACAGAATTTATTAACTTATGACTTTATAAATTGCATCTTCGAACTCAAAATTGGTACTTTTAACTTTTAAAAACACAGAATCGAGAAGTAATTTATTCAAAATTATAATTTAACTAAGCATTTTAGGTACTGTCGTAGAAGACGAAGACGATACGAGAATAAGAGCCCAGTTTGTCCAAATTAGTTTACATTACACCGGACACAGGAATCTGTTTAGTCATTCTTCAGTCTCTTTCAGCGCCGTGCATCTAACAAAGACTACCGCAATACACCAAAGCAACGCGTATTGACGTTTATGCTGCAGTTAGTAGTTTAACTCTGCCAGTTCAGTAGGGGATCTAAAATCGGAAAACCTGATTTATTTTGAAATGTGGTGATTCAACGTATATTGAGGTATATTGAAGTATACCTTGACAAGAGACAATCATTAATCAAGCTAAGAATCAATAAGAGAAGCTTATTAGTAGATTAAGATACGAGTATTTACCACCTCTTATTAGGTTACACAACTGGTATTTAAAATCTAAAGCTTCACACACTTATTGAATCTCATGAGCCATTATAACATGAAGGAATTTACTGATTTACTTCTTCTCCAAATTGCTATTACTGTATTCTGCTTCAGCCTCCTCTGCCATGTGAGCTCTTAAAATCCCTGTCAATTGAACCTAATATCCCCTAATATCCTCTTTGACTCGTACATAAATCTTTTTAGCCCACTTCCTCTAAAACTGATGGTGGAGAACGAACATTAATAATGCTAACAAATTGCTATCAATACATATAAAATATTTATAAAACGCAGTAAAGGTAAAGGTGTTTACTCACTGGTAGAATTTTCAAGCCGCCCCAGTCCTCTATGCTTATTCACCGCATCTTTCCATATAGGCCTATATATTTTTTAGTCTTGCTTCTTTGTATAATTTATTATATGAATACTACTATTGATTATGTATATAACAAAATGAATAATCTTCTTTTTTATGAGAATCATGTTGCACTATTCCATTAGGATTCACAGATCTATCTTTTGTATTTTTTCATGTTATAAGTAATTATTTTTAGATGCTTACATCAAGATAGTTTTTGTTAGTTGTTACATATAACCGACTGAACACAGTAGTTACATGTGTACTCCTAGAGTAAAATACTATCTGTTGTTTTATCTGAGCTAACACGTTCAAAGTATATCATCTCTTCTCTTGTCTCTTTCAGGTAATCCAAAGGCGAGACGACCTGGGAGAACCAAGAGAGAATTTCAACAGGGATTGGGCAGACTACAAGAATGGCTTTGGAGACCCTGCTAAGGAGTTCTGGATGGGCAATGAGAACATCTACATGTTAACCAACAACGAGGAATATGTCCTAAGGATAGAGCTGGAGGACTTTGAGGGAAACAAAAGGTGATTTATCAAACTTATCGACAATTTTTACTTACCGAAATGTAACTTTTCACTCACTCACTCCTGTGGCCACTCAAATTTAAGATTTTTGGCCTTGCCACCAAGTTGCCTCCAGACTCCTCTGTCCTACACTTCTCCCCCAATTCTTCTCACATTTTCAGCCACTTGGTCACTCCATCTTCATCTTGGTCTTCCTTCTGGTCGACCTCTTCTCGCCCTTGTTGTTGAACACTCCTCCTGTCTTCTTCTCACATGACCAAGCCACCTAGTTCTCCTTCTTCATTGCCAATATATGGCCTTCCTGTACAGTTTCCTGAGTTATATTTTTACAATATTCTCCAAACCCCCTCTACAAATATTTGTCTATATATCCCTCTCAATATTTTGTTTATGAGCGTTAGATCTGTTGGAGACTTTGGATATGTTTTGTTAATGACACTAAATGAGAAATGAAATGCTTATTGCTTATAAAAGAAAAATATAAAACCCCTTTAAAAATGTGTGTTGTATGAAGCAATTAAAAGCAAATATGAAAAGTATAAATACAATTTTAAAATTATTAAGAGTAAGATTATTTTTACAAATACAGTATGTTCTTTGTAGAGGCAAGTGTTTACAATCATTTTTTACAATCGACGACTTTTTAATTGTTTTGTTCAAAACTATTACCACCTTTAAACATTGTAAATGTGTAATTGTCATAAATATGGAAATACTTGCATGCAGACATTTAACAACATTTATCCAATTTTACCACTGATTTCATAAGTAACCTCACTGTGCCTTGGTTACTTTTTTATATTTAGAAAATAGGCATAGGTCTAGAATTTCTACGTAGAGGTCTAGAAAATCAAAGGTTACCCAAGCAAAACTGAAATAAAAAATTGATTTAAAAAAAAAACACAAGTCTTGGTTTTTATTTTAATTAATTTTAAGATAGGTACCAATTACGTCCCAGGCAAGAATTTATTTTAATAAGGTAAAGGTTAAACTATCATATATATAGTATATAACATTGTTAAGTTCAAGTGCTTTTCTCTAGAAACACCATACTTTAAGAAATGTTAAGAATAAAAAAAAAAATATTGTTAATTTAGAACAGTATTTAGGACAACATCAACACACACAATTATTGGGGGGAAGTTGAACAAATTATATGAGAGCTTCATATCGTAACCTAACCACTAAAACATGTTTTTGTTGTTAAAAGGTATGCCCAGTATTCTCACTTCAAGATCTACTCGGAAGCCGAGTACTACAAGTTGGAGATTGATGGATACGAAGGCAACGCTGGCGATTCACTAAATGATCCTTGGTACGGAAGCAACAACAGCCCTTTCTCCACCTATAACAGGTATGTAGAGTGTTTCAATGTCTAAGGATGGATTTTAGAAAGTAATCATTTCAATTTTTATTTCCGTTAGTTTGAGTACGGTATGGTTCAAACAAGAGGACAGGACTTGAATTCATTCATCTTACCATAGACTAAGCAACACAAGTAGACTTCTCATCCCATTGTAAATTTTGAAGCTTGTTTTTTCGTTTCTAGTTCATGTATGTTAACACTGCTCACTAGTGTAGACAAATTTTTGTTTCTATTATTTTAGGGTTATTTTCATGATTTTGTGCTTTACTGTTTGGTTATATAATTAGGAGACCAGTTATTGTTTATGATTTGATCGTTTTATTTGGTTAAACAATGTTTTTAATGACTGAAAGAAATAACAAGAAACAAATAATTTTAAAAAACACGACCTCTACAATGTGACACACAGAACTATAACAATGAAATTGGATTAAGCTGTTCCATATAAAATAAGGATGACAAATCTACCAAGGGAGTATGTTTTATCTACGATCTTACTCTACAAACTTGGTCTTCAGGGTACAATGCAGAAGAAAACGTTTGTAATGTTAGTGTTAGTGACTTGGAAGCCTTAACATGATGAAAAATTAGTACCATGTTCATAATTTTTTTTCTCTTAACCCATTCCTACGGTTCCCTTACCTTTTTAACTGCTCATTCAGGGTCCTTTTCCACTTCTTAATCTTCCAACCCCTCTGATTCCAGCAGATGAGTCATTGGACGATGGGCTAAAGTTTAACTGAGTCAACTGTACTGAGACGTACTCTCATACATATAGAATGAAGTCATTGGTAAAGCATTGAGTGAGACTCTCACGCCTATGTTCTTTGCAGAGACAATGATCGGTCCAGCTTGAACTGCGCCTCCATGCTGAAGGGAGGCTGGTGGTGGAAGTCTTGCGGTCGAGGACTCAACGGTCTTTACCTCAACGATCCTCAGGACATCACAGCAAGACAAGGTCGGCAAAGTGTACTTGCGTAGTGTTAGATGAGATTCACGTAGGTACTCGGTGTTCTGGGTGGCTGAGTAATCATACTCCCCTGATAACTTGAAAATACAGTAGAACTCAAATTAATCTTAACTCCAATCATCTGAATCGCCAAGTATTCAGATTACCTCAAGGTTTGTGAAATAAATTAATTCAGCCAGCAAAATTAAGTGAACTGCAGTTTTTGCCGATTGCATTAGTTTGGTTGGATATTTTAACGTGTACCAATTTTGTGTCCATCATGTAAAATGTCTATTTTGTTTTGACGTATCCATGGATGGGCGATGAGCCTAGTGCCATTGTTTTAATTTCTTATCGAATCATCCAAATGTTGGACTATCCATGAATTGATCTGGATAATTGAAGTTTTACTGTAGTTGGTTTGATACTGTAAAAACTAGGTTATTTTAGATTGTATTAAAATCAACCCAGATTGGGTCGAATTCTCTAAAAAATTCCCTCTGGGTAAAATTCTCTCCTCGATCATTGGGCTTATATAAACAATCCTAGACACCTGGGTAAAGAAAAAGCTATAGTATTAGTCGTCAGCAAAGCTACAAAAGATACCTCACTCAGTCTACAATAATCTTTCACTCATATATGTAGATAAAAATATGCAACAAAATTACACTGTCTCATTGTAGTAGTAATGAATATAAAATATATAAGTAAATATTATTATGAAAAATAACGAATATGCTAAAGTGGGAAGTTTGTGGAAGGCCGTACACTTTTACGGACAACCCTTGTAACATACATACCAACTCCCACGGTAGGGAAAAAAATCTCCGATTGAATCCTATGATTGTTCATCTTGATAAAAAAGTCATGTAAAGTGTGGGTGTTTTTGTTGTTATTTTATAAAACAAAGTATTTTGATTTTATTTTATTCACACAAAATGTTACGATCTTTCTCATGTTTCAGGTATCGTCTGGTTCAGATGGAGAGGATGGGATTACACACTGAAGAAGGCGATGATGATGATCAAACCTAAAGGGTCCATCAATCCAACATAGGCCTTAGTTTTATACCGTAGTTAAATAAATGAAGCCCAAACCGAGACTAAGGTCCCATCGAAATTTTAATGTTTACACTGTAAAAAAATACAAAACAAAATTTAAATGTAATATTCCACTCGTTCAGTAAAGTAAAAGACATTGTACACCAATTACAACTTATAAAACACCCCTTTTGGATAGAGCAATCCCATTTATCATTTACAAGCTTGCCAAAGGGGTTGCTCTATTTCCGAAAGGCATTCCAAAGTGTTTTTGAGTTTGTACAGAACAGCTCTAGACAAGGGCTGCATTTAACCATTGACTATATAACACTAGTGAGCAATAGTAGTGTTATATAGTCAATGATTTAACTTTGGTCAATTCTTCTGTTTACAGTGTTTTTCAACTGAAAAAAAAAAAACTAAGTGTCATATATAAATTCTAAATTGTTAAATATGTTTAACCTTTTGCTAAAGCTGCATGGATCAGTTTAAATTGTGTTGAATCACAATCGATAAAAGTATAAGAACTGTATAAGTGAACAATGTTTGGTGCATTTTTTTTATAAATTGGTCAATTTATTCTTAACAATGCCAACTGACATTAAAAGTAAGTTTAAATTTATGATTTAAAAATTCAAAACCTTTGCACTAACTATAATTCAAACATTTTTTTTGAAATTTTATTAATGAAATGCTATTATACTTGATCAGGCTTAAGAGAACAACTACAAATTCCAAATTTGTGTTTGAAAAATAATAATCACACCGTTTGATAGACACTCAAAGTGGAGGGAACGCTTAAAATATTGTCTCAACAATTCTATATTGATTATGTACAGGAAGTGTATGAAACCAGAAATTATTTTGTAGGTATAAGAGATTGTACATATTATAAGCACAAACTAAAATCTGTGCCAAGAGTACTGGAGCTGTGTTTGAGTCTGTTAAAGACCAACTTGAAACCCCGGTAAAACTATAAATTAGGTTAGGATTACTTGATAAGGAAAGAGAGCTATCATAATACTATCCTAAATCATTCATATTTTAAACCAGTTTGTATTAAACTTTCATTAAATTTCCTTTTTATTACCATTCTGCTGACCTACATTACACCTATATTACTAACTACAATCGGTTGATAACTATTTTAAGATGATATACACTTGTAGGATGATTTCTTCTAGTTGTTTCATCTCACAAAATTTTCTAATTTTTATTGGGTTGCTTTTATATTCTGTTCTTCTCTAGCTAAATATTGGTATTTTTAAGTAACATACAGTATCGACTTCTATTGGCTACAATATCACAATTTAACTGTAGGACATTAGCTTAAGATATCCTGCAGTATGTATTTTCAGAATTCTGATCTTAGATATCTGATATTTTTAGGTATTTTACCATGTTAAGTTACGTTTTACTGCTTTCAAAACCCAAGCATGGACGTTTAAACCTCCAGCAATTTTTAACTTTGAATGCCACTTAAATTTATTTACTGTTCATTTTCATTTTAATATACTTATTTTTCACAATTATTTAACCTAAATAATAAGTTGAAATCCTTTAATTTAATCATATAAATTTTAGTTATCTTGCTGATTATGATAGCTTTATGTATTATTATTTATTACGTTTTCTTTTTGTATATTCAACATCATTCCATTCACGCCATTGTTACCTTCGTCTTCTGTCAATCCTTTGCATTGTGGAGTGGTTAGCGGAAGAACCTTAAATCCATGTGTACCTAATTAGTGATTAATCATTAATATGTATAGTTTTGGGGATAATGTAAATAGAGTATGTACTGTATAAAGACTATTGATTTTGTACAAGTGTTTGTCTTCTTTACCCATCCTTTATCCTGGTGAATCTAAAAATGGGCGAATAGTGTGGCTGCACTCACTGAGAAGAAAGGTGCAGGGGATACGGGTACGGTACTGTATCTAGTAGTACATTTTTCGTATCTCGGTTTCTAACAAGTAAGCAATAGTAAAAACTTAAAAGGACCCAACTTAAGATTGGAAAAAGAAAAGTCAAAAAGTGACTTTAAGTTAAGAGTGAGATTGACAATAAAATTCCTAATATTATAGAAACATATTGCAAAAAAATAGAAAATTTTACAAAAATTACCTATGTTTGAACGATGCTTGTGCTGTCCATTTAACGATACAATTACACCGTTATCCTGTAAGGGATCATAGAAAAAAATGTGTCAAGGGCTTATAGGCCGTCCAACATTTAAATTTGTTTGAAAATATCACTTTTGGAATTTTTACCGCTAAATTTAAGATCACATATTCGAGTTATATTTGAAGTCACCATTTTAGTTTCTTAGAGGGTTTAGACACGGTCACTTTTAAATTCAGGCCGTGCGGCCAAGTAGAATTAGCAATGCCACAAGTATAAGTGCTGCTGTTGGTGCTGCTAGAGAAAGACGTCCCATGAGCTAACATGGCAGACAGGTTATACACGCTCATTTAATCAGGTATATTAATTTAAAATTACAAATACAAAATCATTAGAAGATTTGAAATGAAAACAGTGTTCTAAATAAAAACAATATCAACTGAACAATTATTTCTGTACATAAAAAATTGAGTCAATATTTTCATAGCCCTCTGTAACATTTTTCACAAATTCTAAAAAACACACAAACGCATTAGGTGCCCCCAAACAAAACAGCTGTTAAAGCCGGGTTTTCCTAAGCGCGGAGTCGGCGAGCAGAGAGAGGAACGCGGAGAGCGGACTCCACTTGTCTTAGGCAATTTAATGTTACTGTTTTCCTAGAAGCGGAGCGGAATGCCATGTTAATTTCAATTCCGCTCTCCGCGTTCCTCTCTCCGCTCGCCAACTCCGCGCCTAGGAAAACCCGGCTTAAACAGCACTGACAGTGTTCCTATTCGAAGGCCGCGGCCTAGAGTTTAATGTGATCGTGGTTTATATCATATCACCATACCCTACAAATTCTAGTAACTTTCAATGTCATTTACCAACCATAAGAACATGAAGCATATTTAATTTTTCTTGAGGGGGGTAGGGTAGAATAAAAAATGTGACTCTTAAGAATGTTCCGGGGGTTTTCGTCCAAGACAAAGAACCGTGCCAAATTCCAATGCCTTTTTTGTAGGCCTACCTACATCTATATTATAAAAGTAGTGTAGAATTTGTATTCCCCCTCCCCCTTAGCGAATGAGTTACTGTCAGCGGCTGTGTAATTTTTCCCCACTTTCCTCCTCTCCATATCTCTTTTAAGTAATAATTCTAGCAAAAAGGTATACAGGAGCATTTTGGACAGCTAGCTCATTTTTACTTATGACGAATGTTTTTCTGGAGGCTATAGTTTTTAGAGATATTTAAGGAAAAGGGACCAAGTCAGCCAACCCCCTTAGATGAAAAGAGGCACGGCCGCCTTTAACCACGGCCGCCTTTAACTCCAGTCGAACTGGCAACGTCGCAAGTGGTGCCGTAACAGCTGTTTTGTTTGGAAGCAGCTAATGGTATTTGTGTGTTTACGAAAGATTGGTTACTGGACTATGACAATATTGACTCTGCTTAAAAATGTACAGATATGGATTTTAATTCATACTGTTTCGGTTTTCAATTCTGTATGTTTTATTTTCAATGTTTTAATAAATTTATGTTCATTAATTTAAATTTAAATCAATAAAGTGCGAATTAATGAGCTGATGTCACCTGTCTGCCATGTTATCTTATGGGACGTCTGTTCTGAACAACACCACTTGCGATGTTGCCAATTCTACCAGGCCGCGGCCTGTAGTTAAAGGCGGCCGTGCTTTAACTCCAGGCCGTGGCCTTCGAATTGGCAACGTCGCAAGTGGTGTTGTAACAGCTGTTTAGTTTGGCAGCAGCTAATGGTATTCGTGTATTTGAGTAAAAATTTAAAAACGTACGTTTTCAGGAAAAGCACTTTGCCATTTTTTCCCCTTTTTTCAAAACTTTTATTATTATTTTTATTTAATTAACATTTTAAGTTTCATAAAATGTCCATGGTAACACAATATCTTTGGTAGGTTTTTTTTAATAGAGCATCTTTGGTGGAAAAACACAAAATCCTGTCACGACCATAGACGCTTAAATGAATATTAAAAATAGTTAATATTATTTTTATAACTATGTTTTGCTATAAACTAATTTATTTTTATGACCATTATACAATAAAAAGGTCACTGAGCTTTTGGTATATTTGGTCTTTCTAAAAAAAAAAAAATAAAAAAACTCAAAAAATTGAAAAAAAGCCAATAAAATCTATTTAAGTTTGTATAACACCGAAAAAACTTACCTGAGACCCGAAAAATTGTTATGTTTGTATAGAGGTGTGTTTCTTTTGTGTATAAAACATTAAAATATGACGATATTTTAATTTTTGAAATTTTTATGATAGAAATCATAAACGTGATGGTCAGGGACAAGCGGTACGGTCGTGAATTTTCTGAAATAATCTAAATCTTTCTAAACAATCCTTCAATTATACTGTTAGTTATAATAAAAATATGTGTTTCAATTGAACTAAACTGTTCAAATTACAATTATATTAAAGTTATTGTCACGACCAAACACACTATAATCCATAAGGCTGGATTGGTCGTGAAAAAACCCGCGATGGTCGTGAAACTTTGGTCGTGAAATTACGTGTTATTTGGCTATGTTCTGGCGGTAGCCCTGCACCTCATGTTCGAGGATATAAAGTGGACTTCTAGGTTAATCTAGCAATTGAAATATCTTATAAACAAAAATTAACACCATGTCTACTTCATCGAATGACTACGTACGGTCATGGACACACCAAAATTACAAAAAACACAATCTTTCCTTTATTAATCTTGTAATTCCTCCTTTCAACTCGAAACGACCGGCACTACAATCCTGACGTACACCCCGAACTAGTCTCTAAAACCATCTGACTCCATTGACGCCAGGCTTGCCACTGTCGTGCTCCAAAGTTGAAAATTTTTCCCAAATGGTCGTGACGCCAAATTGAGGGACAGACTTATTTTGTCATGGTAGTCAGTTTGCAATGACAATACAATTATAATATGCTCCTTTTTTGTAAGTTTAATAACCATTGATGACATAAAAATATGGCTTTATATATTTCGGCATGAATAATTAGTCTAAAAACAGCGTGAAAGTTGGAAAATGTACCCTAGGGACAAGTCATGGTCGTGAATTTCGAGACTTTCAAAATACGAAAAAAATAACTAGAACCTATTTAAAACCAAATAAATGTGTGTAACATGTTGCCCCCGTCCCAAAAAATATTAAATTACATAATAATAAACTACAAATCCAGTATCTACGAAGGTAAAGGCCAGGGACATGAAAAAGTACGTTTTTAAATTTTCACTCATTTACGAAAGCTTGGTTACTGGACTATGACAATATTGACTCCCCTTTAAAAGTACAAAAATTGATTTTCTATTTAAATATTGTTTTTGTTTTTAACCCTATGTTTTATTTTCAATCTTTCAATAAATTTATGTTCATAAATATTAATTTTAATGAATAATAATACGCGAAATAATGAGCTGATGTCTCCTGTCTGCTATGTTATCTTGTGGGACGTCTGGCGCTAGACAACACCACTTGCGACGTTGCTAATTCTACCAGGCCGTAGCCTGGAGTTAAAGACGGCCGTGAAAGAGGATTATAAATTAAAAATAATTACCATTGACTTAGGGCTTAGAGTAATTAAACAAATTTTGTTGTTTTATTACTCTGAGCTTAGGGGAAGCAACCACAAATGGCACAAATAGTGTATCTCGAAGCTACATGGGTTTCATAGCCGTAGCATAGGCATTCATGACATAGCCTACTGAAAAAAAATCAAAAAAATTAAAAACAATTAAAATATATTTTGCAGTGTTGCCGTTTTGCGCGTAATTACGCTTTTTGCGCGGATTTTGGGGGGCTGCGCGGATTTTTGTGCGGATTAGGCTCGTGAGCGGATTTTGCGCGGATTTCACCCAATTCTAAAGTATTTTAAAATATATGGGAATTTCAACGGCAAATCGGGACACTTTGTACTTTGTGACTCAAGAGGAGCACTTACAGTATATGAACTAAGGATTATATTATAGTGCATTCAAGAATGATCGATGATGTTTTTTTTTGTGTACATTTATTGTTCTCTTCACGCCCTTTACTTCTACGTCTACGTATCTAGGTTGTCGTTGTCACTTCTAGAGATTCAGTCGTTTTCTAGGGAATAGGGATATTTTACTACTCGTTCTAGTGATATTCCTCTAAACGTTGGTTTGTGGAAACACTGCTAACTTTAACCAAACAGGCAAACAAAACAAAGTACCAACCAAACCAACAGAAACAAAACAAACTATCCAACTTTATAATATTTGATGCTATTACAATTAATGTATTAGGTTAGTTTTGAAAAGAATTGACATACAATTAATGCACTTTCTTTCTCAAAGGTATCATCGTCCATCAGGCTAAGGCTAGTTTGAAAACAAAAAAGTAATAGGTCTATTTTTTATTTGTGGTTTAGGTTTTGTGTGCATTTTGTTTTCCAATTTCGTTTGTTTGTATGGTTCACAGATAAGAGAAAACCAACAACTCCTGTCTTAATTTATTGATACCTCTAACCCCATATTTTAGGAGATATAATATTGCATGTTATTGATTTCTAAAATTTTTAACTGCTATAGGTAAAGTTTGTTCAGAACAATAAGTATAGTTTAATTGAACATGTAATTTTTAAATTTTCGTATTAACGCAATAGCATTTTATTTTTTCACTGAATATTTTTTTTGTATCTGTTATTGAAAGCAAATACATAGTACGGTAAGTGTAAACA